GCGAGGGCCTGTGGGGGAGGCCGTGCGCCTAGTGATTAGAACAGGGCCTTTTTCTCCCCAGGAGTCATTTAAGGACAAGGACAGGCCTCTGCTTTACATGGCAGAGTGATAAACACCTGGGACTTGCTACTTCCTGAGGCGGTGGAGGCTGAAAAGAGAAACCCCTGCCACACAGCCACATGACAGGTGGTTATTCAGGCGTGGTTGGGGCCCATTTCTAACCTGTTTTTAAGTTAGGTATAACTCCATTTGGATTGAAAACCAAGTGAGAGAGCAACTCATCTGTGACCCCCACCCTCTCCCGTTCCTGTTCTTCCCATTTTGGTGTATTTCCTTCCAGGGCTGGTCTGTGCTTGTGAGTCACGCCAGGGCTGAACCTGTGGAAAGTACAGTACCTCTGTGCTTCTGGACTGAAGTCACTTAGGCAGTACGGTTGTCTTCCCTTGGGCCTTGGCGTCTCTGTTGCTTGTCTTCGGGACTGCATAAAAAAGCCTTGAGCAACCCTCCTCTCCCCTTGTTGACCTGGGCAGTCCCTGGGTGTTAAGGGGGGCTCCCTTTTAGAACAGGCCTTCCCGAGGCTGAGAGGTCATTCCAGCCCTTGCACGGGGTGCCAGCTCCAGAGCAGTCACCCAGAAGAGGGGGAGGGGAGGGAGGAATTAAAGGGCTTCTTTGCTGGGGGGTTGCTTAATTGGTTGTGCACAGAGGCAAGGGTTTGGGGAGGAGCTTTTCCAGTTTTAGAAAAAGTCTGAATTCGGCTCTGTTATTTCCCCTGAACTCCTGGGCAGAGTTGCTTCATTCCTAGAAACCTCAGCTTTCTCTTTTATAAGATGGAGGCTCAGACCTGTCCAGCCTTCCTTGTCCTGAAATGAGAAATGAGAAATGAATGCTGGTCACCACTTTCTAGCCTGTGTGACCTTGGTAGGCATTTACTTCTCCTGTGTGTCAGTACACTCGATTGTGAAATAGACGTAACAATACCTGCCTATTAGATGGTGTGGGGAATGTAAGAGTCCATGTGTGTAAAATGCACATTAGTGTGTTAATTGCTTATCTACACATGGGACTGAGCAGAGGCAGAGCGATCCCCTTTCCGCATAACCCAGTGGGAAGACAGTATTAGTAAAGTCACCATATAATGGTCAAGTGATCTTTAGACGGGTGTAAAATTGTAGCAGGCTCCACGTGAGAGAGCAGGGGCTGTGCCGCCTGTGAAGATGTGACCCTGTTGGGAGCTCAGCAAGGGCTTCTGAAGACATGAGGTGGAGGGAGGTGTACCCCCAGCTCGGACAGCTTCGTAGGGATCCCCTAATAGGTCATAGGTTACAGCCTTTCTCAAGACCCTTTGTGGGCTTTGTAATCTGGAAGGTCAAGTTCAAACTTTTACTTCCCTTGTGTATCTCCATCTCCTCTCTACCCTGTCACCCCACCCCACTCCATCCTGTGCCAGACTAGATTGTTCCTTTTCATGTAGCTGGAGTGTTTTGTTCAGATTGTAAAGCTAATACATGAACTTTGTAGAGTACAGAAATACTGGAAGGAGAAAACTATAACTCCATTATCACACAGCCCAGCCCAGGGATAGACCTACTGTTGATTTTGTTACATTTTTTAGTCTTTTTCTTTTTTCCCTAAACATAGCTGAGTTCCTTTTTCTTTTTTTAAAAATAATTAGGATCATTACAGAAACTTTAAAAGCTACTTTATAAGCTGAATTACTCATATTCCCACCACCTAGACATAACTGCTTTAACATTTGGTTTCTGTCCTTCTGGACCTTGATGTGTGGGAATGTGTGTGTGTGCGCGCGTGTGTGCACACACACAAACGAGAATACATATAACATTTTAAAAGTGTTATCAGACCACACACCATGGAATAACCTCATTTTTTTACTTACCACTATAACATGAATGTTTTCTAAGTCAAATGCCGGTGTCACCATTCACAATGACATTAGTGTAACTGTACGCCAGTGAATTAACCTGTCAGCCTGTCTGCTGGGGATGGACATTTCGGTGGTTGGGACTTTTTCATCATAATAAAGCAGTCCAGTAATGAACGCCCCGAATGGGTAATGGAACATTTGGAAGTTTTCGTGCACTGTACCTGTTGGCCTCTGATGTGGGTGCTGTCTCCCACTTGGCCAGGTGCCTTCCCTGTCCTGGGAGGCTCTGCGCACACCACCCACAAGGTGTCCCAAGCCCTTGCTTTACCTCGAGCAGCCAGTTGGTCTTCCCACTTGGCTCCCAGACCTTCCACACCTGCCTTGTGTTAACACCTGTTACAGAAAAGTTGTCTGTAGCTGTGTCCCTGCTGGGCTGTGCGCCTGTCTGATTGTTCTTTGTAAGCCCAGACTTGGCACTTGGTAGGTACACCATAGCCATTGGAGTTGTGAGTGATAAGGTAGTGGCGGGGCTCTCTCATGCTTCAGCTGTTGGCTACTCCAGAAGTCTAAGATTCTCTTCTTTGGTCCTGGGCAGCCAAGGATGTGATTAAAGAGATTGAAGACTTTGATGGCTTAGAGGCTCTGCGCCTGGAGGGCAACACGGTGGGCGTGGAAGCAGCTAGGGTCATCGCCAAGGCCTTGGAGAAGAAGTCGGAGTTGAAGGTGAGACTGGGTGGGGACAAGCTCCTCACAGGCCACAGACCTTCCCAGGCCCCTGTCTTGTTGGCAGTTACCATGACCAGCTCCTCTTCCTCTGGCTTCCCAGGGCACTCAGCACTGGCTGGGGCCCCTGTCCCTGCATGGTGTGTCCATTCGGGTCCTCTAGTAACAGACTAAGATGGTATTAGGAGGGTAGCAGGTTTATTGGGCAACATGTGGGAAAAGTAAGAGTGGAGGAGCAGAACTGCACAGGGAGAGCTTTCAGCTTGCGCTGAAGCTCTGGCACCTGTGAGGAAGGAAGCGCACAGAACTGGCCCAAGAACCACCCGGTTCTCAACCACTCAGCCTGCTCCAGAGCAAAGATTGCCTGATAGAGGAGTCACGGGCAGAAATGGCCAGGCCTCAGCTCAGATGCCTGGGCAGACTGGAAACGTGCTGCAGCCCGAGGCGGCCAGCCAACTGCTCTCCTCACAGCTGAGTGGCAGCTATGAGTTAGGTCCAAGGGGTGCCCCTCCTAGCATGTCCCAAAGTGGGTTTCTCAAGATGCTCTTAGAAAAGTGAGTTATGTTCAAAATGTCGGGAAGATGGCACTGTGTGCCCCCGTTTGCTGAGACCCAGTGTATGAGCGTAGTAAAGCCTCTGAAGTCTTGGGAAAGAGTCCTGCATTGCAGATGGAAACAGCTCTTAATTCATACAAGGCTCAGCTTGTGCTGGGCTCCTCTGCACATGTCGTTTAATCCTTACAGCGACCCAAGTGATTGAGACTCTCCATTTTGTAAGTCAAGGGAACAGAGGCTCAGAGGGTCTGAGTAAATAGCCCAGATCCCACTGCTGCTCCAGTGTGCCTTCTCTGGGCTTTCCGAAGGGGGAGCATGCAGGGCTGGGGCCACGAGAGGAATGGAGTGGATTTGCCCACGGAGGGCTGGGGCTAATTTATTTATTCATTTTTAAAATATATCCTTATTGATTTCAGAGAGGAACGGAGAGGGAGAGAGTGATAGAAACATCAATGATGAGAGTCACTGATGGGCTGCCTCCTGCACGCCCCCTGCTGGAGATTGAGCCCCCAACTTTGGCATGTTTCCTGACTGGGAATCAAACCGTGATCTCCTGGATCATAGGCCGATGCTCAGCTGCTGAGCCACGCCAGCCAGGCCTGGGACTAGTTTATGAAATGGCCCCTGATGTGTTTTCCTCTGGAAGATCACGGTCAGGTTAACAGTTCAGGCAGTGGCTGTTTCTGCTCCCTTTCCCCGGGAGGCCTTTCCTGGAGCAGAAGCTGGGACATTTCCATGCAGAAGAATTTAGCCCTTCCCGGCGACCTGTGACCTGTGTAGGACGGCAATGGAGCAGGTGTGGTTGGGCCTGGAGGCTGAAGGCTGAGCTTTGGCATCCAGGAGTGTGGCTTCAAGCCCAGCACCACCACCTTATGTGCATTACTTGGCCTTGCACTAAGCTCAGCTGAGTCTGGACTCCTTCATGAAAAGATTTTCCTCCCTGAGAGGTTCTCGTAATGGCCAAATGCAGGCTCATGTCATGAGAGCTTGGCCACTCAAAGGCCTTGAGCCTGAGGTCTGTTCTCCCTTGTTCAAAAGGCAGACAAATAAGAAGTGGGGAGGTGGGCAAGACCTGCAAGCTTCAAAGTTAGGCTACCTTCTGGGGGTAGTTTGGAGGGTTGAAAAGAGATTTGAAAAAAGAGTAACTTCCTTGCTGCTGGATCCCATATTTACTTTTCTATTCCTCCACCACCCAGTCATGTCACTTGTCACACCATGTGGGAAACTGGTACTGGAAAGGAGCACGTGGCCGTCTTGGCCCTGGTCCTGCCACTGCTGGCTGTGGGGCCCGGAGCATCTCCTTTCTCTCATCCCGACTCTGCCCCTCCACCCCCCGAAAACCAGAGGGTTGGACAGGCCAGGGTTTTCCTGACATTCCTACTGAGCCCCCATGGCCCCCGAGGGTCTCCAAGTCCTACCAGCTTTTCGCTGACAGCCCAAGTTCAGAAGTCCTGTAGTGCCTGGCAGTCCAAGTGCGTGAGGTGTGGTGCGTGCAGGCCCCTCCAAGGTCTCAGCCAACTCTTCTTCCTCCTCTCAAAGCGATGCCACTGGAGCGATATGTTCACGGGGCGGCTACGGTCTGAGATCCCACCAGCCCTGGTAAGTGAACGGGCCGCTGCTTCCCTCCCCCCTGGGCACAGGAACCCCTTTGGTCATTCCCAAGACTTTTTCTAACATCATCTTTCTGGAGACTAAGATATGTCCTATGGGTGACAGATGCTGAAGCGGAAGCCTGGCAAGCACAGCACCTGCCCTGTGTGCTGACGGGCAGGTGGAGTACAGGTGCTAACCAGAGCCAGAGTGTGAGACTGGGAGGCCCAGTTACAGGACGGACAGCAGAGACCAGGGGTCCCTGGGTTCATTCTTGAGCTGAATGGTTTCCCTCCCACTATGGAAGTCCCTCCCTACATGATTACCCTTGTGTCCTGGCATTTCCCTCCCCTACACCCTGAGCTTCTGCCCCTTTGTGATCTCAGTAGCCCACAGCCTGCTGTGGCTGCCCTGGTCTCCCTCTAGCCCCTTTCTCAGTATCACTCTTTCTGCTCAGTATCACTCTTTCTGCTCTGGTTCTTGGGGGTGGCTCCCCTCAGCTGTTCTCCATATCCCCATTCCTGAGGCTCAGCTTTGCTGGGGGCAAGTTGCTGGCGCCTGTGTGCACACACACACTCATGCATGTATGGGAGGGAGAGGAGGAGCCATCACAGAGCAGAGCCTGGCTTGCCTGGGACTCAAGGGAAGGAGGCAGGGCTGGTAATAGCCTCTCGGTGTCTCCTCCCAGCACAGGGCCTGGCACATAGGGTGCCCTCAGAGAGCGGTTCTTGGTCAGTTATTGGCTTGATTTTGCACGTTTTTAAGCCCCCACCCTGGTCATGCTGGTGCTGCCTTCTCGAGCCTCCATTCACCTCACCAGCAGTGGGATTCCTGAGGTGCCCATGTACCAACATCATTTTTAAAGCACCTGCTAAGGTGTCACAGGTGCTCTTATGGGGAGCCCTGGAGAGAGGGCCTCCTGGGTAGAGAACTGAGGAAGCCCTTGGAGAATTAAGTTAGTTACCAGCCTCAAAGGGTAAACCAGGCGAAGCCAGGATTTAGAATGCAGGTTAAGTGAATTCATTTGGGTGATTGTAAGTAAAAGGGTTTCAAGTTGAAAAACGGGGTGAAGAAAATTTCCTGTTGGACACTAGCTGTGGGTCTCTGTGCATATTGTTTTACTTAAACTCTTGCAAGTTTCCTGGGAAGTGTTCTGATCTCCATACTACCAGTGACAAGAATGAGTCTGGAGAAAGGGGAAGAAAAGAATCAGGTCAGGGAGAGACATAAAATGCAGGGATGGAGCAGCTCTGGCTGCCTGAGGGTGAGATGTCAGATTGGGGCCAGATCCCCCGGGGTTGGGCCTTCTCCTGTGGGTGGGGCAGCTGGAGACCAGCTTGGGCAGTGTCTCCCTTCCCTAACTCCCCACCTCCCAATCTGTGCCCAGCGCTGTTTCTGCCCCCAGTCTCTGTTAGTGTCTCCTCGTCCATTTCTCCTGGGGCACTGCAGGTATCCCCAGTCTAGGAGATTCCCAGGATTGCTAAGCATCATCTTGCCACATCTGGTCCTGAGCTGAGGCTCAGTTTCCTCTCCTCCATCTCCCACCACGCTGGGTAGCCAGCACCCTCCTCTGGACCCTGGATCACTGTCTCACGCTCCTGGGCGGGCACTTATCCTCCAGCCTCCATCTGCCCTCCTCAGATTTGGGGGGACTTTTTCCTCCATGTCCCTCACTCACCTCAAAGCCCTTTGCTCTCAGGCTCAAGGTCCACAGTTCTTGGCCTGGCGTTCAAGGCTCTTACCTGATGTGATTCCTCGCTTCCTTTCTAGCAAAATCCCCCTCCCCTTCTAGCCTTAGCCTCTCTGGAGTCTAACAGCTGCCCGCCCCAGGCACACTCATGCTGCTTTATGCTTATGTTCTCTGCTCATGTTTCTGGTGCTGCCTGGAATCTCATGTTTGATTGGCTGATTCTCATCCAGACTGAGCTCAAATGTTAACTCCTACAGGAAGCCTTCTCTGACCACACTACATACACCAATCCCCACACCCCAGCAGAATTAGGAACGCTCTGCCAGTTCCCTACTAGCCTGAGTGCCCCCTGGTACAGAAGCAGCACCTGGTAGGTGGCTGTGACACTGACGTGAGCTCCCTCTATGCGCAGATCTCTCTAGGAGAGGGACTCATCACAGCCGGGGCCCAGCTGGTGGAGTTGGACCTGAGTGACAATGCATTCGGGCCCGATGGTGTGCGAGGCTTCGAGGCCCTGCTGAAGAGCTCCGCCTGCTTCACCCTACACGAACTCAAGCTCAACAACTGTGGCATGGGCATCGGTGGCGGCAAGGTGGGTGTAGCGGTTCCCTCCTTCCCTCCCTGCTCAGTTCCCTACTACATTTGTCTCCATCTGAAGTGTGTGCCCTGGCCACCCACCGTCTAGGTTGGCTGGTCTGTTGTTTTCCTCTTCAAAGGAGAAAGGCCTCAAAGGCAGCAGCCAGTGGCCAGTGGGGAGAGGAGATGGAGTTCATGAGGTGGGGTTGCCAAGCAACATCCCGATTCTTAAGTTGCCTTGACAACAGAGGCAATATTGCATTATGTGCTCCGACCTGCTGGCTCTGCAAAATGCAGGGCTTTGGGTGTCCCTAGACCTGCTGTGCCCTCAGAACAGCTGGTAGAGCCATGGAAGGCCTGGTTGTACATGGGGAGGGAGCCCAGAAAGAGATGGTGCAATTCATCTTTGTTCCTAGATGGCCTGGATGCCTCCCCTATCCTGCTGAGGAGCCAGGCTGGTCAGTGTAGAGAGACTCCTGTTTTCTTCCCAGAACCTGCACCGAGGAAGGAGGCTGTTCTGATTCCCATCCCTCCTCCCCTCATGTTCTAGTCAAAAGTAGAAAAGGCCTGGGACGCTGGAATTGACAGTGATTGGGACATCTTCTCTTTGAAGATGTGTTTTGTGCATAACCTTAATTCTCCCACCCACACCGACAGGTGGGTGATGCTGTCCCCATTTTTTCAGATAAGTAAGTATACTTGGGCTTAGAGATCTTGGGTTGAGTGCCCTGGATGATGTAGCTAGTGTGGGACTGATGTGGAATTTGAACCTGCATCCACACGGCCCTGTCAGAGCAGCAAGAAGAGCCTGTGTGATGCTTGCAGGACTCCTGAGGAGCCAGGGTGGCCTCCCTAGCAGAAGTTGCCTATCGCCCCCTGCCTGGCTCAGCCAGCCCTCCCCCCAGCCTAAGTGGGTAATAAGCTTCATGTGGTTTACAACCTAAGTAGGTTTGAATCAGCACAGAAAAGAGGTCCGGCCCAGCCTAGAGTCTGATGTTTTGGGGGAGCCAGAGACATCCTTGTAAAATGCTACCATTTTCCTTCACCTCCGCCCAGGAAACAGGCTTAGAAGCCACCTCCAGGCACCAATCCAAGGACAGGGAGAGCTGGGCTTTAGGTTTTTGCTCCCAGCAGCTGAGACCCTGCTGAGTGTGGCTCGCCTAGACACCAGTGTGTACCAGACAAGTGTAGTGGGGCCATGGTCTCCTTGGCCAGCTCACCTTAGATATTGGGGAGCGTGGAAGGGATACTGGAAGATTGGCTTCTGCCCAGAGTCTGCCACTTGATTAGCAACCATAGGAATGCTTCTGCCTCTCCTTGAACCTGAGTTGCTTCAGCTGCAAGGAGACTCCTGATGCTCCCCACCTAATAGAGGGCTTATGTCAGTACAATGGGGTCATTGTGAAGCCCCTTCCTGGGCCTGGCTAAAGTTGGTGACTTGGCGTTGGCCTCTCCCGTCCCTCTGTGCCTTGGTCACACATCTCTAACATGAGGCTAAACCCCCAGAGTAGTGGGACCCTGCTCATGAAGCCTTAGATGTAAAAGCTCATGAAGCCTTAGATGTAAAAGCTCTTTGTAAGCTGTAGGGGGTTGGGCACATATGAGAGGTAACCATTGAGTTTTGGGGCAGTTTTTTTCCTTTTTAATATTTATTTATTTATTTACTTATTTATTTATTTATTTAAAATATATCTTTATTGATTTCAGAGAGAGGAAAAGAGAGGGAGAGAGAGAGCTAAAAACATCAATGATGAGAGAGTCATTGATTGATCCTGCAACCCGGGCATGTGCCCTGACCGGGAATCAAACCCCGATCGCCTTGATCCTAGGTCGACGCTCAACCACTGAGCCACGCCCGGCCAGGCTATTTATTGATTTTTAGAGAGGGGAGAGAGACATCGATTTGTTGTTCCACTTATTTATGCATCCATTGACTGATTCTTGTATGTGCCCTGACCAGGGATCAAACCCATGACCTTAGCATGTTAGAACAACACTCTAACCACCTGAGCTACTTGACTAGGGCTTGAGCAGTTCTTTGTTCCCGTATCCACCAGTGGGTGGCATGGGATACTGAAGACCAGGTTAGGGGCATGGCTGCCCTCCTGGGGGAAGGGCCTCCTGCCTAGGCCTGGGCCCCTTGCCTTTCCCCCTACAGATCCTGGCGGCAGCTCTGACTGAGTGTTATCGGAAATCCAGTGCCCAAGGCAAGGCGCTGGCCCTGAAAGTCTTCGTGGCTGGCAGAAACCGTCTAGAAAACGACGGAGCCACTGCCTTGGCAGAAGCTTTTGGGGTGAGTGGTTTCTGCCTGTCCTGCCCACTATGCTGACAGTCCTGGGAGTGCCTCCCAGCTCTGGAACTTAGCTGAGAGACTGAAGGCGAGCTGCTTCCCCTCTCCAAGCCTGCTGGCCCATCCTACAGTGAGGCAGAGTTCCTGTTGTGTGTGTCTGGAAGTTGCATGGTCCTCCACCCAAGTGAACTGGCAATCGCTCCCTAGGGTGCTGTTGGAGAACACTGTGAGGCTGCTCTGAGCAGTCAGGGACATCTGCGAGGGTCAGAAACAGGCGCGGTGGTGCTGGAGCAGTGAGAGTCAGCATCTCTGCCCTCTAGTTGACAGGCACAGACTTGCCCTTGAGACAGGAAGGTGGGCAGGAGCAGTAGCCCAGGTGCTCCACCTCCTCCCCCTGGAACATTCACAGACAAGCCCCTGCCTGTGCTGGCAGCAGCCCCTCCCCATGTCTGTGTGTAGTGTGGCCCTCCCACCTGCTGGATGTCACTGGCATGGGCCTGCAGCTGGAGCTCAGGGGCCCACCTTTGTCTGCTCCTTCCTGCCCCTCACAGGTCATCGGGACCCTGGAGGAGGTCCACATGCCACAGAATGGGATCAATCACCCTGGCATCACTGCCCTGGCCCAGGCTTTCGCCATCAACCCCCTGCTACGGGTCATCAACCTGAATGACAACACCTTCACCGAGAAGGGTGCTGTGGCCATGGCCAAGGTGAGGCGGATTGATACAGGGTGTGACGTTGGCTCACGGGAGGGGCTAGGGTAAGGCTGCACCCTCACCCTGGCCCTCGCTTCCCCCTGCAGACCCTGAAGACCTTGCGGCAGGTGGAGGTAATCAACTTCGGGGACTGCCTCGTGCGCTCCAAGGGCGCCGTGGCCATTGCAGACGCCGTCCGCGGGGGCCTGCCCAAGCTGAAGGTGCCTCCGGGTTGTTTCCCCCACAGTTGGTGGGGTTGTCTGGGGCGGGTACAGAGGGTCTGGTCTTCAGAGGCATGTGGGCCTGGGTTCTTCCATGTCCTCTCATGCTGTTTTGCCAGTCCCTTCACCTCTCTGAGCCAGTTTCTCCATTTTTAAGTTGGGGGGAGGGGAGTGATGTGTTCATCATAGTGGAGTATAAGTAAACACCCTGAGTACCTGGCGCATCGCTGGGTAAGTGACGTTTCTCTGGTTGGCGTCATTCTGTCCAGCTGGAGGACAGAGCCTGCCTTACCCTCCCTTGGTGAAATGCAGGCTTCTGAGTGGGATCTGGTCTCCTGCCACTACCCCTTCCTCTCGTTTTTAGGAGCTGAACTTGTCATTCTGTGAAATCAAGAGAGATGCTGCTCTGGCTGTGGCTGAGGCTGTGGCAGACAAGGCTGAGCTGGAGAAACTGGACCTCAATGGTAAATAGTGGCAGTGGCCTCGGCACAGGCCCACTGGGGGTCTGCTGCCCATCCTGACCCCGTTTCCTTCCCACGAGCAGGCAACGCCCTGGGAGAAGAAGGCTGTGAGCAGTTGCAGGAGGTGCTGGACGGCTTCAACATGGCCAAAGTGTTGGCGTCCCTCAGGTAGGGGACTCTGGGCCTTTAGTGACTCATTCATTTCATTCATGTAAAAAATGGGTTGAGCCCGTTACGTGCCAGGTGCTGTGCTAGGCATTTTATATGTTAAGCAGAGGAACAAAGAAGGGCTGGGGTGATGGTTCCTTTAGGGCGGGGGAGTGGGTGAGCCCTGACGGGATGGTGGCCTGATGCTGATGGATTAGGCGGGGTAGCTGGCAGCGAGGCCGGGGGAGCAATGGGGCTGCGCTCAGAACTGTTCTCAGAGACTGACTCTAAGAAAGGAAGGGATGGTGTAGGAGGTGGGGTTACGGGGTTTGCAGAGCCCATTGGAGGCATGGGATGGGGTGGCGGCTGCCTCCTCTGATAGATAGGACCCATCTCCCCCATCCCTTTAATCTCCAAGTTGGCTTCATTCGCCAATCAGGTCCCTGGTTGTGCGCCCTCACTGCTAGAGCCTGCGCCTCTGCTAGGAGGTGGGGACTCAGAGGTGGGATCAAGAGGCTCAGGATCCAGGGGAGACAGAACGGCTTTCCTTGGGGGCAGGGAAACCCTCACCTCTCCCACCCCTCAGCCATGGCTTCCTATGGCCAGCAAGATACGGGTAGCACAGCCCTGGGCGTGTCAGTCTGGGCAGTATTCCTGCCGGACTCTGGGTCCCCGGGACGGCCCTCCCCTCCTGTGCACCCCCAGGGGACCGGGGCTCCTCTAGGACGGGCGAGAGCTGATGCTCTGCACGGGGTCCCTGGCTGATGAGACATGAGACGGCTCCCCGCTGACCCGCATGCCCCACCCCGGGAGCCGTGGGCCGGAGGGTCTGCTTTAGCCAGCTCCCCTTGGCAGTGACGACGAGGGTGACGACGAGGAGGAGGATGAGGAGGACGACGAGGACGAGGAGGAGGAGGAGGAGGGAGAGGAGGAAGGAGAGGAGGAGGAGGAGGAGCCGCGTCAGGGGGGGCAAGGAGAGGAGCCATCCGCTCCGTCGAGGACGATCCTGGACCCTAACAGTGGGGTGAGTTCTGTCGTTTGCCAGGATCAGAGCCGGGGACCCCTGACTGAGATCCTGCGGCAGCTTCTCGGGGCCACGGGGTGGGGCGGGACCCACGCACACAGGCCACAAACTGCTTTTGCTGTGTTTGCTTTGAAGTCATAGATGTGGTTGTTGGGAAATTATAACGTAACGTTGCTACGTTATGTATAAGATGTACACAAATATTTCTAGAACAGAGTAAAAAAAAAAAAAGCACAAATAGAAATTCTTTTTCCACCCATCAGTGGATTATCTTGGTGACCTATAGGGACAGCCTCCCGTCCCACGGACTGGCTGGGACCATGACCCAGCTTGGGCACTTGGTGCCCGTTCCTGGGCCAGGAGGCTGGGAGTCAGGGCTGCCGTGCCCTAACTCACTGATTCCTGTTCCCTCACCGGTTCCCAAGTAGCTTTACTTTGGAGAACTTTGAGTTGGACAAGGAACCCCCCCCCCCCTCGTTGAATTTGCTTTTCTAGTTTTATGGAAGCATTTCAACAAATACTCAGCCTTTCTCAGTTTTTCTCTGGGCCCCGCTGGTGCTGACTAGCAGCGCTTATAGGGGGTAGACTCCATCCAGTTCCTGGTGGGTCCACTGTAGTCCCCACGTGCCTCTTGAATCATTTTTGGGACATCACATGTCATAGCAAGGACTCACTTGGTCTCTCCAGGCTTTTTTTTTTTTTTTTAATATATCTTTATTGATTTCAGTGAGAGGAAGGGAGAGAGAGCGAGAGATGAAAACATCAATGAAGTCCTGCCGGGCATGGCTCAGCGGTTGAGCATTGACCTAGGATCCAGGAGATTGGGGTTTGATTCCCGATCAGGGCACATGCCTGGGTTGCGGGCTCTATCCCCAATCGGAGGCATGCAGGAGGCAGCCGATCAATGACTCTCTCTCTCATCATTGTTGTTTCTTTCTTTCTCTCTCTCTCCCTCCCTCCTCTTTCCTCTCTCTGAAATCAATAAAGATATATTTAAAAAAGAAAACATCAATGATGAGAGTCATTGATCGGCTGCCTCCTATTTTCCCCCTACCTGGGATGGAGCCTGCAACCTGGCCATATGCCCTGACTGGGAATCGAATCACGATCTCCTGGACCATAGGTCAATGCTTGACCACTGAGCCACACCAGCTGGCCTCACCAGGCTCTTGGAGTCCTAGGGAGGTGGCTTGTCCCCACCACAGAGACTCCCACACTGGGAGCCAGCGGAGCCAGTGTCTGGGGCTCCGCCCTTTGGGGAGCTGCATTTGAGTGGGAGGAAGAATTCCAGACTCCGGGCCATGATTGGCTCATGTTCTGGGTGAGGAGTCTGGGTTCGGACCTCTGCAGTGCTACCTGTGTCCCTCAGGAACCAGCGCCCGTGCTGTCCTCCCCACCTCCCGCAGACGTCTCCACCTTTCTGGCTTTCCCCTCTCCTGAGAAGCTGCTGCGCCTGGGCTCCAAGAGTTCCGTGCTAATAGCCCAGCAGGTAAGAGCACTTCTGACTGCAAACCTGCACGCCCATGCCTGCTGGAGCTGCCAGAGAGAGGGACAAGCAGAGCACAGGCGACTGGGACAGGGAGGCTGTCAGTGGGAGTGGGGGGGGCTTCCAGGTGTTCCTTTTTATACACAGACGTAAATGAGTGCAGCAGTGCTAACACACCTGGGCCACAGGGTGGGCAGGCCTGCTGCACCTCAGACGGTTGGAATTAGGGAGCAGTTTCTCTTACACACATACACCCCTAGGCTTCCCTCTGAATGCTCTGTAGGACCAGCTTCTAGAACTACCTACTGCCCAGGACTCCTGTGGCCATCACATGTGTATTGCAGGGAGGCTGCCCTTGTTCCAGCCTCACTTGTTGGTTGGCTAGTTGGTTCGGTCATTCCTTCCTTTCTTCATTCATTCTGAGATGATTGTCATGCACCTCCTGTCTGCCAGGCTCTGTTCTGAGTACTAGGCATGGTTTTATTTAACGCTCTTGGCAACTAGAAGTGGAGACCCTGTTACTCTTGTGCAGGTGAGAAAACTGTGGCTCAAAAAGGGTGAGTGATAAATAGAAATAAAATGGGCCCCTCTCAGCTGGCTTGGCACTTTGATTTCCTTATGTTTTATCTGTACTTCTTTTTTCATGATAACTGAGATTATATATAATTATAGTAAACTTTTTTGCAGCCCACCTTTTTATTTACTGAGGTTCATCGTCTTCCTGTGTCAGTAAAACTCTTCCCTTCCCTTTGTCCCAGTGAGTGGGTGCAGCACTTAGGCTTCCCCGTTTCTGGATGTTTATGTTCCCACTTTTCCTTGTTACCGGTACAGCTGAGGTCAGCTTCGTTGCATGGGAGTGTCTGCATGCTGGATCGTTCAGGTTGGGTTAGGAGAAGGGGATCACTGAGTCACAGGGATGACAACTGCTCGTTCACTCCCTCTGTGTGTGTTGCACACCTGTGTAGGCCAGGGCCATGCCAGGCTCTTAGGGCACCGTCTGGGGTGAGGCAGGACTGTCGTTGCCCAGCAGAACCCGGCACATTGCCACTGTGTGTCAAAGCCCTGGGACTCTGCCCCTGGTGACCAGCCATTGCCTCCTGTGTCCTCAGACTGACACATCTGACCCAGAGAAGGTGGTCTCTGCCTTCCTGAAGGTGTCCTCTGTGTTCAAGGATGAAGCTGCAGTGCGGACAGCAGTCCAGGATGCAGTAGGTAACGTGGGGTATGGACAGGGCTGGCTCCTGCCTCCTTCCTTCTCCAGGGCTCAGGCGACGGTTCTGTTTACTGCGATCCCTCTGCTCCAGCAGGAATGTTTGAGCTGCTCTCTGGCCCTCCCACCTGTTCCTCTGTGGGATTCTTGCTGGGTGCTCTCCTCTTTGTTTTTTATAAATGGGGAAATGGAGGCCTTTCCTAAAGTCAGCTCTATACAGGTAGAACTCAGGCCAGGTGGCACCCACCACGGGAAGACCAGCTAGTCACAGCCCCACAGCCCTTGTGGAGGTGGACCTCTCAGAAGGGGTGATGAGCACTGAGCCCTTGTCCCACTTCTGAACCTCTACACACGTCCCCTCCACCTGGAGGTCCCCCTGCTCCCCTATATCTTTCACAGGCTTTCCGGAATCTCTGGTCCCCCTCCCCCAAGCCGTCATGACCTCCCCTCTCCTACCTGGTTCTCTGTTACCTCCATCAGCCTTTTACCTTGTCAGTGTGTGTCTGAGCCTCCAAGGGTGGGCCAGGTTCTGCTAGGCAGGGGCACAGCACACGGGAAAGGGTAGAAAGTGGAAACGTGTATGATACTTTGTCCTGGAGTAGTGCACTGCGGGTGGCACTGAGGCAGGAGGGTCTGTGGGCAGCGAGGCTGGGGAGGTGGGTGAGGGCCACATGGGAGTCTCCAGGTCTACTCCCTCAGAGCCTGGCTGTGAGGACAAGTTACCTGGATTGTTTCCCAGAGCAGCCTAGCACAGAAGCAAGTGGCCTCAGCGGTCTCCGCAAGCCCTTGGCCACTCTCTTCCGCGTCCATTCTCCCTCACCTCCCAGAATGGCTGAACCCTCCCCCAGAGGTGGTCTACCTCACTTAATTGCCGCCCAGCTGTGCGAGGTCCCTGAGCCCAATTTACTTGAGAGGCCAGGTCAGGGAAGGGCCAAAGTGTCACAGCCAGTAGATCTAGCCCTTCTCTGGTGCTGGCTGTCCCCTCAGCCTGATATCTGTGTCCATGTCCTACCTCATGTGTTCACCTCCTGAATAGGGTGGGAGGTAGGGCCAGCTCGGGAGGGGCGGCTGCCTGCCCTTTGGCCCATGGGCAGCCCTTGGCTGCAGTAGCATCTGCCTTGTGCTGCTTCTGCCTTGCAGATGCCTTGATGAAGAAGGCCTTCAGCTCAACCTCCTTCAACCCCAACGCCTTCCTCACCAGGCTTCTCATCCACATGGGTCTGCTCAAGGTGTGGCTGGAGGGAGTTGCAGCTGGGAGGGGGTGTGCACCAGTGGGTGTTCTCGCCATGCTCCCCACCCCGTCCATGAGTCCTGCTGGGGCCTGTCACCCTCACTGGCCTGGGCCATGGGGCTTTCTGAGCAGGGGCTGGATGGTGGAGACCCAGGGCCCCCAGGGAACCTCAGAACTCACCTCCTGCTCCATGTGTTCCCCTTTCAGAGTGAAGACAAGGTCAAGGCCATTGCCAACCTGTACGGCCCCCTGATGGCACTGAACCACATGGTGCAGCAGGACTACTTCCCCAAGGCCCTGGCCCCCCTGCTGCTGGCATTCATGACCAAGTGAGTGTGTCCACACCCACTCCTACGCTCAACTGAGGCTTCCCTGGCCTGGTCGCTCGGGCTGTGAGAGGCCCTCATGCCTCCAGGCTCTTGGTGTTCGTGTTTGATTCTCACTTCTCCTGTGTGGTCACTACTCCTGTGAGGCTCCTCCCCTGTGCCCAGCTGAGGACACAGGACTCGGGCACAGACAGAGACAGAGGACATGTAGCACTCCCATTTTCCAGAGGAGGAAACCCAGGTCAGCCAGGAGTTTGCCCACATCACACTGCTGGTCAAGGACCTGTGCTTGGCGGCATCCCTGAGAGCAGTTCTGTGTCTATTCCCACAGCAGCCTAGGCCAAGGGGCCTGGCTGTGCTGGCCTCCCCCAGCCACAGGCCGTGAGAACCGTGGCCTTGGCCTGGAGGATCCTGGGGCGTAGTGGGTGTTGGCCACAGTCAAGTAATGAGGAGCCTCCAGGCCACACTGGGACCCACCCCAGATGGGTGGGTGGGGAGGCTTGTCCCCTGTATAGCCCCGGCTGACCTCTGGCCTTCCTTGGGCCTCAGTTTCCTCATTGGCCCAACCAAGAGATTAGGCAAGGTTGTCTCCAAGGGCTCCGACCAGCCACACTTCAAACAAATCCAGCATCTTGGGGGAAAGTGGCTGGGAGGTGGGAGGGCAGGAGAAAGGAAGTGCCCTGGCCACCCCCATGTGCATGTGCATCTCCTTTGAAAAGTCACTGTGAACTAAATCAGTATGTATGGGATTTAGAGTGGGGTTGAGTGAGATGAGGCTGGAGAGGTAAGTATAGCTGTCGTCATGGGTCTTGAAGTCTGAAGCAGTGTGGAATCAAGCAAGGATCTTAAAACAGAAGTGACACCATCAGATGTCCACTGGCTGCAGTGGAGAGATGGCTAAGGGAGAACCCGGAGCTAGGGAAACAGCTCTGCTGTGCGCTTCGGTGCTAATCGTCAGCCGCGGGTGGCTATTGCGCTCTTCGGGTGCGGTCAGCACCCACTGAGAGGGCTGAAGGAGGAACACGCACTGGGTGCCATGGGCTCAGTGCAAAAGTAGCAAAGTAAATTATGTCAATAATTTTATATATTTCAGTAATTTCATACTCATTATATATTGGCATGATATATTGGATTCATTGGGCTAAATAAAATATATTATGGAAATTTTTTTTAAAAAGAAAAGTCATTGTGAAAATTAGAAAAATGGAGTCTGACACATTTCTAGCCTCAAAAATGGCCCCAACCGTCTGCTGTAGCCTGTTCTCCTGGCCTCAGAGGTGCCCACGCCACCCACTGACCCCCCTTTCCCCACAGGCCCAACGGCGCCCTGGAGTCCTGCTCCTTCGCGCGCCACAATCTGCTGCAGACGCTGTACAAGGTCTAGACTTGGACACCAAGCGGCCTCTCCCCAACCCTCAACTGGACCAGTGACTTGGGAAGGGACTTGGATGAAGGACTCTGGCCGGAGACAGGGAGGGTCTTTGTCGCGTGTGTCGTGCTGGTCCCCCGAGTTTGTGTGTCGGTGTGGTGTGCGTGCCAGTGTGTGCTTCCTATCGGGGTTGGGTTTTTAAAGTCTCCCTGCTGGGCTGGCCCTGGTCCACTGGAGGGGAGCTGGCTCCAGGCAAGAGGGCTGTGAGCTGCGAGCTGCTCTGCCATTAAATTCACCACCATCTGAGGGCGCTCTGCTGATCTGTGCCTCAGGTCGAGGCCTGTGGCTGTTCCCGCCCACTTTGCCCTCCTTACCCTCCTGGGCTGCACCGAGCCTGGGACATGGCTGTCCCCGTGCTGTCCCCTCCCTCTGCATTGTGGCTAGGCTGTTTCCCACACTGCCTGGGGCTGCTTGCTCAGCGGCTGCGGCTGCTTCCTGTTACCAGGCCCTGGTCCTGCAGCCACCACAGTCCCCAGCATCCATCCTGATCTGATCCCTCGGCATGAGAGACAGAGGCTGCCATGGGTGGAGTCACAGGGTGGTCAGCAGAGGGCAAGACCCTAGTGCCCATACCATGTGGACAGGATGAGAAGGCAGTGGGCAGACACCAGAGGGTCCTGGAGTAGGCGATGCCTGGACGGCACTGGCTCTGGACTCATGGGGCCCTCCCCTGGCTGCTGAGGAGATGACTGTGACTGGCCTGGGGGCCAAGCTGGAGGGGCACCTGGACAGGCCCAAACCTGTTCTCCAGCCTTGGGGCCAGGGCACGGCCCGCTGCTGCGTGAGCTACATATGTGGAGCATTTAAAGGGCCTGGGGCAGGCGCAGGTGGGGACTGGATGGACCTGTGATGCCTGTGATGCCCTGCAGCCTCCCTCAGCTGCCCTACAGAGCCCTGTGCTTTCCCCTTCATGCTCTTTGTGTCCGGGCTGTGCCCGAGGCTTCACAATAAAGTCATGTGTGACGACAGTGCAGACTGAGAAGCTCTTCACCTAACGTAGGTGGTTTTGGGGGCCTGAGTACCTGGCATCCCACCTTAGTCTGCATGGGGCAGTCGTTCTTGCCAGAGTCCCTGCTCCAACTTCATAGCATCACTGGGCAGGTCTCCCACCAGGGTGTGGATATGTCCTCTTGTGTGAGCGTGCCAGTGCCAGTGCCCCCCTAACAGCTGAATGGGAGGTCCCCAGGCGGGCTCTGATTTGTGGGAGTCGGGAGGAGGGAAGGCTCCCCCTCGGCCTGGTCACCTGCCCTTTNTTGTGGGAGTCGGGAGGAGGGAAGGCTCCCCCTCGGCCTGGTCACCTGCCTGGCCCCATGACGCCCTTCGCCGTTTGCACCACAGCTCCACTGGCCCTGGCGTTGCTCCATTTATCGACCTGGCTAGGCTGGACACTGGCCAGATTCACCACGGGCCCTGCTGTTTGCAGTCAGGATCCCCTGCATCTGGCCTGCTGTAGTCACTTCACAGGGTCGGCCTGTGAAGCCCCTGAAGGATCTTTGGCCGTCAGGTCTGAGATAGAGGACACCTCCCTTGACATTCTTCCTGCTGTGGCCATGTGGTGGAAGGACAGGCCCACAGACCCTTCTCACCACGTACCCTGGACAGCAGGCACCCTGGGGAGGCTGTCTCTCAGCAAGGTGAAGAGGTCCCTCCCAAGTAGGGGTCAGCTTTTCTTACTGGCTATGGAGCATTCAAGTGACTTCGTTCTTTGCCAGGTGGGGGAGCAGGGTAGGACATCTCTGCCAATGGTGAGTGCTGGGGCTGCAGGCTGCCTTTGGGGAGCTCCCAGTCCTGTGCAGGAGACCAACAATCGTGGGCAGTGAGGTCAGGGAAGCTCGAGTTAGGGATGCAAGAAATGAGTGTTGAGATTCAAATAGGACTTCTCACGGCTATTTGACGGAGAAACAGGCTTGAGGCCGAACAGGAAACCTGCCCAAGGCTCTCTGGCCTGGCTGTCCTTTCCTCTTGGTCCCAGGAGTGCAGACTGACTACCCCAACACCCACTCACCCTTCAGACCAACTCAGCTGTCGGGGACCGCCCCCCCCAGCACCAGCTTCAGGTGCTGGGAAGCGCTGGGGTGCCTCTAGTGTTCTTACTGAGAAAGCTGCAGCCTTTGGGATTTCCCTCCAGACTCCAGTGCCCTCGAGAACTATAACCAACCCTTAGATTACATAGGCTGCAAGTCCCTAAGCGCTGTGATTTACGGTCTGCGAGATCCTAGGTGCCCTGGCCTGGGACCCCCACACGTGAGGGGCTGCTCAGCACCAGGCTGTTCCCACTAAAGGGAACACAACCACTGCCTCGGGGCTAAACCACCAATTCCGCCCAGGAAGCGTGTTTGGGGTGCTCCTAGCAGCACATCCTGATGGCAAGAACTGAGAAACAACTCAGGCCAACATTGGGAAGTGGATCGGGTGCGAAGCGGGTCAGTGGAGGATCCGCCGCGGTGAGAACGGGTCCGCCAGGTTACGTGCACACCACGTGCGCACACGGGAATCCACGGCAGTGCTGAGTGCGGGAAATGCCAGCGGTGCCATTAGCACGTTACCGCTGCTTAGGCGTGCCCTGTGTGAACGTACGTGTGTGACGCTGCTGTTGCCAACAAAAGGTGCTAAGCCCAGCATTCACCATGGGACTTAGTCTGGGAAAGGCAGGGGACGGGGCAGGTGGAAGCGCTAGGCATTCAAAGTGATCCAAGTCCACCCAAGAGCCATATTCTTCAAATGGAAATAAGACACAGGAGAGCATTTTTGACGCACACAAGCCTAAACCACAAGGAAGTTTGTCTATGTCAAAAAATGTAATGAAAAAATGCCATAAAAGTGGATACAAGGCGATAGAGTAGAAAGACCTAGCAGCATGTACAGCACAAAACAAGGGCTAGTGTTGAGAATACACATCCAACCGGACACCGGACAGGGGACATGAACGAGCATTTCACAGGAGAGGAAACCCGAAAAGCAACCCCCCAAAACATTCCACCTCACTGGCAGTCGAGGAAATGCAAAATAAGGCCACACAGGGACCGGCAAATACTGTTGAGGTGACACCAGGAAAGAGATGTCATACATTTTATGCATTGCTGGAGGGATGTCGCACTAATAAATTGCACTTCAGGGAGCAATCTGATAGATACTGAAAAGTGAGGAATTCATATAACCTGTGACCCCCCAAATCCCATTTCTAAGGATCTACTTCAGAGAAACTCGCACGTGTGCACAAGGCGGCAGGGAGGGGGCGGCCCGATAAGGGGGTACCGGAAGGTGAAGAAAACCTGAGGGGCCGCCGGCGGGACAGTGCACTGCGGTGTCAAAGGACAAGAAATACGCGCTTCCACTGACACAAGGTACCTAGGACTCTCAGAGACAAAAGGCAGGTTCCTGGGGACAAGAAGAGAGGCCAACGGGCGGGGCGGGCGGGATGGGGAGCTAGCGC